CGAGGGTCATCCCAGTCCCCACTGGGTTGGTTTCATCCTGTATCGCAAGACACTCCACTGGCCTTAGAAGCCACATGGTGGGACCAAGATGGTTGCCGTGTCAAAATCTCAACAGTGCCGAGCAGGCCCTGAGGCCCCGGGGTGGAGAGACCTCTTCAATGCACGCTTTGATGATATCTTCTGGAGGCTCTGGAAGACTGTTGCCCACAGATCTGACATACTACCCCTTCTGATAGACAGCTGAGCCTGGAAAGCAGTCTCAGCTGCTCATGCCACTTCTGGGGTGGTTGCCCACTCGGAGAAACCTCCATGCTGGTGACCTCATACACAATGGGTGCCCCGGAATCCTGTGAACCTGCAGGCCCATGATCATGCCATCTGCCTGGAGCCGAAGATTCATGGCACTGAAGTCCCAGAGACACTTACAGCACTACTCACCTGGTCTGGTGGATATGAAAGCGGGAATTACTATGGCAATGGAGCTGGTCTTTCTGCCGTGGCCCAACATGGAAATTACCGGTGTCTCAAGGCCTCTGTGTGGCATCAGATGAACAGAGACTTTATTGTTATTTTCCTGCCAAAATAGGGAATTCTGTTCTCCTCGCTGAGCTTTTCAAGAATGTTGAATACCCAGTGGCCATTAAGCTAATTTGTTGTTAACTTTAGTCTAGCATGCTCCATTATTCCTAGTACGTTTAGTATCTCACCTTAGCCTACCTGACTTAGCATATAGCCTGAATTAACTGCCATACCTGCCATAAGGCTTTATATCTGGTTAAAACACACACCACTACTCTTACTCAGTAAATTGCTTGACCTACTCTTGTTTCTGTGTCTACAACCCTCTAACCAAGCCACTACTTCATGCTGAACAAGTGGGCTAGTAGGCTGAGCACCATTCCTACTGTATTATATCTCTGTTTCATTTAAAATGAGCTAAAATTAAGTTTAAAATTTTGCTGTTTAACATATCATAATACTGATCATTCTGCATTATCCTGATAAGCTTGTACCTGCTGTTGTGGCACTACAGGCATGTTTTGTACTTCTCAGCACAAAAAAATAACGAATGTAAAAAACAAACAAAAAAACAGAGCTCCACAGCATTAATACTCACAGTTATGTGTCTTTATATTACAATAAATGTGTTTAGGAATCTTTCTGTATAAATTGTATGTGTATATAACATAGCATGTAGCCTTTATAAGGCAGAAGCAGGCACATACATCTGGCCTTTTTTAATATATAATCCATATTTTAAAGTCCATATATTTTGTCCTAGTTTGAGAAATATATAAAACCAACAAAAGTGTGGTTTATTTCCTAAGAAGAAAATAATAGAGGTAGATACATTTTCAAATTCAGCCAAGTTGGGAATTAGAAAAGGAAGCTAGAAACCCCTTAGGGGAGCTAGCTTAAGTGTGTGTCAGGGACAACCTTATAGGGGATAACCCTCACATATGTGTATACAACAAAAAGAAAAGAAGGACCCAAAGGAGAGAAAATACCTCAAGGGTCCAAAACCTGTAGGCGGTTCCTAACTAATACCTGTACAAGTTAAAACTTAACTTTTAATATTGGTAGATAAAAAGTATACTAATGCCTATAACATGAACCCAAAAACGAAAAAATAATGAATAAAAAATGTAGGCAGACATAGAACCAAAACACCTTAACTCTTACATAGTTACATAGTTACATAGCTGAAAAGAGACTTGCGTCCATCAAGTTCAGCCTACCTCACATTTGTTTTTTGCTGTTGATCCAAAAGAAGGCAAAAAAAACCCAGTTTGAAGCACAATTTTGCAACAAGCTAGGAAAAAAATTCCTTCTTGACCCCAGAATGGCAGTCACATTTATCCTTGGATCAAGCAGTTATTACCTACATTGAAAGATTATATCCTTGAATATTCTGTTCTTGCAAGTATACATCTAGTAGCCGTTTGAACATCTGTATGGACTCTGATAAAACCACTTCCTCAGGCAGAGAATTCCACATTCTGATTGTTCTTACAGTAAAAAAACCTTTCCTTTGCCTTAGACGAAATCTTCTTTCTTCCAGTCTAAACTCATGGCCTCATGTCCTATGTAAAGTCCGGTTTGTGAATAGATTTCCACACAATGGTTTGTATTGGCCCGAATATATTTGTATAATGTTATCATATCCCCTCTCAGGCGACGTTTTTCTAAACTAAAGAGGTTTAAATTTGTTAACCTTTCTTCATAGCTGATATGTTCCATTCCTTTTTATTAATTTTGTAGCCCACCTCTGCACTTTTTCTAGTGCCATAATATCCTTCTTTAGAACAGGTGCCCAAAATTGCACAGCATATTCAATATGGGGTCTTACCAGTGATTTATAAAGAGACAAAATTATATTCTTGTCCCGAGAATGAATGCCCTTTTTCATGCATGACAATACTTTACTGGCCTTGGCCACTGCTGATTGACATTGCACATTGTTGTATAGTTTGTTGTCTATAACAATTCCCAAGTCCTTTTCGTGTGTTGTTATCCCTAATTCGCTTCCATTAAGGGTTTACGTTGCTTGTGTATTCTTTACGCTGAAGTGCATAACTTTGCATTTTTCAACATTAAATTTCATCTGCCATTTGAGTGCCCAGTCCCCCAGTCTATCTAAATCCCTCTGCAGCAAAGTAATATCTTGCTCACATTGTATTGTTATAAAAAGTTTGGTGTCATCTGCAGACACTGAAACATGACTTTCAATGCGGTCTTCAAGATCATTTATAAACATGTTAAATAGAAGGGGTCCCAGAACAGACCCCTGAGGGACACCACTTGCCACCTCTGTCCAGCTTGAAAATTTACCATTGATGACAACTCTTTGTACTCTGTTTTTAAGCCAATGTTCTATCCAAGAACAAGCATTTTCATCTAGACCGATTTCCTTGAGTTTGAACACTAATCTATTGTGTGGAACTGTATCAAATGCCTTGGCAAAATCCAAAGAGATCACATCCACAACTCTTGTGCAGGGTTTATTCCCCAATTGCTTAATAACTCTGCCAGGATATAGTCCCTGTGGGTAGAAGACTGCAGCTTGAAAACCCTGTACGTCCTATTGGGGAGAAGTATCATGGGATCGTACCTAGTATTACAGTGTAGCGGGTTTCCCTCATTGTGAAGGGAAACCTCTCCTAAATATCAATCAAATGATACACTCTATCTACTTCCCCTGGGCAGGGTAAATATCATCAAGTTGAGAATTATTTTCAAATTCTTCTTTGTTGGTCTACATTTTGTAATTCATTTCACAAGTTATTGCAATTGACTGTTTAGTAAATGTAACCTCATGTTTTTCTCATGAATTCCATTTAATTAAAATTGTGTGGTGGATTTATAATATCGCATGACTTAATCATAGCTAAGGTCATTGCTTTCTGCCTGAAGCAAGAGAGAGAATAATAGGTTCGGCTTGTTTAAAAGGATTTCAGCCATCTTTTAATACATTACACATTTCCAGAAATACAATGCACATCAAATGAAAACACTGAGGTAGCAATCTAAATATCATTAGACAGCAAGTATGAGTTTTTTTTAGTTGTAATGAAGTAAACCATATTTATTTAGGGTTAATGGACTTTGGAATGATATTTCTGGGAAATATAGTGCATTTAAAGTGTGATTGCATGTGTCAGTATAGGTGGTGGTGTGTGTGATAAGGTCAATGAATACAAGCGATTGTTTTGCAATTCAAGCCATGTGCTCAAATACATCACATTATGTATTTTCTCCATAAGAGAGAGATATCAAATTTGATTTTTTTTTTCACATGAAATTGTAAGTAATTGAGTAAGTTATGTTGGAAAGCCTTTCATATTTAGATATTTTGGCATAAACTAAAATTTGACTTGTTAATTATTCACATTTTCTGCTCTAGTGAAGGAATAAACACATATGACAATTGTTGCTCTGTTGAGTACATAAGAACCATCACGTCTTTGAAGAGTTTATTCTCCCAATCCAATTTTCCATTCTAAAAATGTGGAAATGTTTGATTTTGGAGAAGCAAAGTTCTATTTCAATGCTTTGTCATTTTTGGTACTTGCTATAGCTACATTAACCGCACAGCATATATTACTTTGGGAGTTTTGTTGAGTAGATATGCAGTTGTACTGAAAGCAGACAGTAATGTGATACATGCTGTAATCATCTACTTACTTAAATTTCTAAATCATGAAGTTGTTGAACTTACATTGAGAAGTGAGGAATAAAATATGACTCAAAAATGCGTTCAATAAAAGTTTATATATACACTGATCGTCCGACAACATTAAAACCACTACCAGGTAATTTGAATAACATTGGTTGTGTCATTGGCACCTGTCAAGGGGTGGGATATATTAGGAAGCAAGTGAAATGTCAGTTCTTGAATTTCATGCGAAGCAGGAAAAATGGGCAAGTGAAAAGATCTGAGTGAGTTTGAACAGGGCCAAATTATGATGGCTAGACAACTGAGTATAAACTGGGTCAGGGCATCTGCAAAATAGCAAGTCTTGTGGGGTGTTCCTGATATACAATTGTTAGTACCTTCCAAAAGTGGTGCAAGGAAGGACAACTGGGGAAACTGGTGTCAATCTTGAGCGCCCAAGGCACCAAAGGCTTGCCCTTTTTGTACTATCACACGGAAATGCTCAAATAGCTAAAATACCTAATGCTGGCACTGATAGAAACACAGTGCATTGCAGTTTGCTGCATATGGGGCTGCATAGCTGCAGGCCATTCAGAATGCCTATGATGACCCCTGTACACTGCTGAAAGCACCTTCAATGGGGATATGAGCATCAGAACTAGACCATGGAGTAATGGAAGAAAGTTGCCTAATCTGATGAATCGCGTGTTCTTTTAGTGCATTGTTTACCTCAGGAAGAGATGGCAGCAGGATGCACTATGGGAAGAAGGCAGGCCGATGGAGGCAGTGTTATGCTCTGGGCAATGTCCTGCTGTGAAACCTTGAGTCCTGGCATTCATGTGTATGTTACTTTGACACATACCACCTACCTAGAGATTATGGCAGCCTGCACCCTGCCATACTGCAAAAATTGTTCATGAATGGTTTGAGTAACATGACATAGAGTTCAAGGTGTTGCCTTGACCTCCAAATTTCCCAGGTCTCAATCTGATTGAGCATCAGTTGGATGTGCTGGAACAACAAATCTAATCCATGAATGCTCCACTTCACAAATCACAGGACTTAAAGGATTTACTGCTAATATAGCAGCAAGTGAGATTTCTGGTGCTTGTTCCTTATGTGTGCAGCAGCTAAAACTTTCCCAAACCAGAGTTAACAATTGAATTCCTTGTGTGGGGTCCAATGTGCCAATATAAGAGAGAAAACAAAATGGGACAGGAATACTAATATAGTGTAGTATGTTTATAACAGCAGAGGCAGAATATAAGGAAAAAATATATTGCACTCACATTTTCTGGAGCTCAAAATCAGCTCCAGATCACAGCGTATGGACGGTACAATCCTCGTCTGTGGATGTTAGGATGGTCCTGATTTCCTCTAGTATCGTATCCCTGTGCCAATAATCCACATGGTGTATTCCAGATGATGCTCCAGTGATATATATGGGATATAAAAGAACAGGAATAGTGTTCCCTGTATTAATAAAACAATTAAAATAAAGAGAGAAATATACTCACAATGGATGAGCAAATAGGGATTGCTCTGTCCTTTACAGCATAGGTAGTTTGTCCCCCACCCGGGAATGTGAGATACAGCTTCTCCAATAAAAAGATGTCCAATGAAAGTCCAGGGGTACAAAGTAGATTAATTTTATTAAACAAATAAAAAGTAAGTAACACACTAACGCGTTTCACCTATACAAGCCTTCTGTATAGGTGAAACGCATTAGTGTGTTACTTACATTTTATTTGCTTTGTCATTTTTGTATAAATAGGAGGTTGTGCAATAAATAGTGGATCCCTAGAACATAACGATACGATGATGTAACGTACATGAGTGAGATGTAAGGCCAGCTCGTGAATTTAACAGAATAATCTATAAAATACCTAACTAACGATTATAAAGGGTATGCTGAGAAAATAGGGATTGCTCAGTCCTTTACAGGATAGGTGAAGGTCCAATGATGGTCCAGGGGTACAAAGTAGATTAATTTTATTAAACAAATAAAAAGTAAGTAACACACTAACGCGTTTCACCTATACAAGCCTTCTGTATAGGTGAAACGCATTAGTGTGTTACTTACATTTTATTTGTTTAATAAAATTAATCTACTTTGTACCCCTGGACCATCATTGGACCTTCACCTATCCTGTAAAGGACTGAGCAATCCCTATTTTCTCAGCATACCCTTTATAATCGTTAGTTAGGTATTTTATAGATTATTCAGTTAAATTCACTAGCTGGCCTTACATCTCACTCATGTATGTTACATCATCGTATCGTTATGTTCTAGGGATCCACTATTTATTGCACAACCTCCTATTTATCGCTGACCGTTACCTCGCTACATATCCTGTTAGGCAGAACTGGATATCTACTTTTACATGACATACCACAATTCATACTATATTTCATTACCCCTGTAGGTCTGCGCCACTCCACCTTCTGAGTCATACCGCATTTCTGACTACTCATTCTCAGATACATCAAATTACATGGCTGGCAGGGCACCAGGAGCCCGATAGCTTAAATTTTCTCAGTCCTCTATGCCTTACGTTAGTGGTCCCGCGAGGCCAACATCCATCCAGACCCAACTCATAGTTCTTATGATCCTATTTTGTGAAACCTGACATTGGTTTCAAGTTACACATCTTAGCAAAATGATTTTAAAAGACATTAGTCTAGTGCTCTATTCATCGAATAATCTATATAAAAGGATCCACATAACACATTCTCATTCTTGGACACTTTCAAAGATTTTTAAAGTCTGTGTCAGTAGTTGAAGGAAAAAAAGCTCTGTGTTAACTCACAAGAACAACAAATATTGTACATAATTATTGATGAGAGAGATAAAATTGATTATGTAAACACAGGATTTTTTTTTAGCAATATTCATATCAGTGGACTTGCAAGTGTGAGATTCCTGACTCTTGTTAGATCCAGGTATGGCAGCTGGTACTTCCCACACCAGAGCCACGTCTATCTGGCCATAACTAGGTATAGGTCAGGAAAGGGTACATGGAAGCAGCACCTTCTGGGTGCCCTCAAAAGTTTTCTGGAGCTTATGTTCAGCTCCAGATTTATACACCTGGGCAGTATGATCCATGTCTGTGGATATGTTGCTCAGCCTGATTCCTTGTAGATGGTAGGTCAGGGTCAAGGGTCAGTTAAAGAGTCAAGTATTTACAGGTATTTCCATTCAAATTGCAGTGTCACAGATATTCACCAACAATGACCTACCATCCACAAGGAACCAATCTGAACAACATAGCCACAGGTGGGGATCACACTGCCCAGGTGCATATATCTGGAGCTGAAAATTGGCTCCAAGACACTGCTTCCCTGTACATTTTCCTGACATATATCAGTGGACTTAACAGCTAGTATCCTCTTTCTACTTATATGCACTGGTCAAAAGAACTTTGTTGATGAGCCTTTAATTCATGGATCAATAGCAGAGTACTGTGGCTGTTACTGAAAAAAGTCCAGTAAAAAGAACTCTGCTTCTGATACAATTGTGTTATAATGTTTTATTAAACAACCTAACAGTGGTTCCTATTCCCTGGTTTGGAACGCAAATCTACAACTCTATAACATTATAGTGGATCTTTAATCATTGGAAAAGACACATGATGTTGAACAAATCCCAAGCAACAGAAAACAACGGTTTACTGTAACAGTACTAAATTAACAATACTGCATATTATATTACAGATAAATAACGTATTTATTTGATGATTTTTATAAATGAAGAATAGGTCCCAAGCTAATGCTATGCATATTTATTGAATCCCAATTAAGAAAAAGCATTATAAAGCAAAACAGCCAAGCATTTTTTTTCTAACGTAAAGGTTAAATGAAAAAGAAAATGACAAACTAAGTTTGTCACCTTTTTTAAGACTGAATTCACTGTGCAGCACAAAATAATGCAAAAGAAATTGGAAAATCACTAACCAATGAATGTACAGCAAACGGCATCTAGCATTGCTGTATTGTTTAATAAGATGTATATCATTTTCTTTTTTACAGGTGGCCTTACCATATAACAAAATGAAATGCAGCATTTATTATTTATAGCTTATTTGTCTTATACACGTTATTGTAATACCTTTTCATATACAGTATTTTGCCATAGTGACAAATAATACTTGTGATGGCATGTTTTTCTCTAAGCCTCCTTTTTAACAAAATCGACATTGTTTCCACCATAATCAGAGGCTGAAAATAAAGACACCCGATCAAACCACATGCTGATTATAAAGTGCCACACTCTATTGAGAGCACGTAACTAGAGACATCTACTAAAACATATACATTTTAAGAGTTATCAAATAATACACTGCAAAAAAAAAGGAAAATATGAACAAAGAAATAATTAATACATTTTTATAATTAACAATCATTTTAACAATCAAATTGCCAGTTGTTTGTCTATTTATGCTTTTTATGGATGTTGGCAGGCTGCTCTTAAAAAAAATGCAGTTATGTCATTCTTGTTGTTATTACCTACTTACCTATTCATAGGCGTGCGCACGGGGTGTGCCGGGTGTGCCTGGGCACACCCTAATCCCCGTGCGCACCCCTATGGTTTGAGTCCTGCAGGAACAGCGTTCCTGCACTCTTTTGAGCAGGAACGCTGTTCCTGCAGGCACTCAGTGCCCCCTGTTTCACCTCTTGCCCCTGTCATGGGAGGGCAAGAGGTGATGATTCCCCCCCCCACCCTGCAGGTCAGCGCGCGGCGAGGGAGCTCTCTGCTGTCTGCTCCCTCTCGCCGCGCGCTGATGCCGGGAGCCGGAATATGACGTCATATTCCGGCTCCCAGCTCGAGCAGACAGCCCGCGCGGCGAGAGGAGCAGAGAGCAGAGAGCAGAGAGCTCCCTCGCCGCGGCTGAGCTGCAGAGAGGCGCCCGCCCCCACTGGACCCCAGGGACAAGTCCACCAGCACTCCAGGTAGGAGGCTGGGTGGACATTTAAAAAAAAAATTAAAATATAATAATTTGTGTGTGTGTGTGTGTGTGTGTCTGTGAGTGTGTGTGTCTGTGAGTGTGTGTGTCTGTGAGTGTGTCAGTGTGTGTCTGTGAGTGTGTGAGTATGTGTCAGTGTGTGTGTCTGTGAGTGTGTGTCAGTGTGTGTGTCTGTGAGTGTGTGTGTCAGTGAGTGTGTCAGTGTGTGTCTGTGAGTGTGTGAGTATGTGTCTGTGAGTGTGTGTGTCAGTGAGTGTGTGAGTATGTGTCAGTGTGTGTGTGTCAGTTAGTGTGTGTGTGTGTGTCTGTGAGTGTGTGAGTATGTGTGTGTTTCTGTGAGTGTGAGTGTGTGTGTCTGTGAATATATATATACGTATATATATATGTATATATATGTGTGTGTATATATATATATATATATATATATACACACACACACACACACACACACACACGCGCGCGGCGTGTGTTTGTGCTTTAGGGTGCACACCCTAATGCAATAGGCTGCGCACGCCTATGTACCTATTATTAGCCTGCTCCATCTACTCATGCTTCCTTTAAGATCTAAATAACACCGTTACATATATCAGGTTAGAATTTACTATTTTGCTTAATAGTATCTGAAGGAATACTGATTACCTTGTTTTCAATACTACCGGTAAGGGTAGTATCGCCCTATAAATTGACACAGAGCCAACATACTTAGAGCCAGTTAACAAAAGGCTCTATAAAAGGTGAGCACCTATCCTTTATATTTTGGGTAATTTCACCATATAATTGGAAGTGCTACATCCAGAGATTTTCTATTTGTTTTCTCTTCTATATATATATATATCGTGGAGAGAAACAGAGAGAAACCAAGCTATAAGAGGGGTGCTGTTTGTCTACCTTAAAGACACAGAAGTGCTTGAGTTTAGAGCCTAAATCCATAGAAAAGGCTCTTAAAAATGTGAGTTTATTTCCACTAACTGGCTAAAAACATATTAGTCCACTTGTATCAAACAATACTGCACTATTTCCTGTCTCTTTCTATTTTTCATGTATAGCCCCTAAAACATTCTTAAAGGGGTAAGTGTTTATGTACCTATTTTTGTGTTATACACCTTTAAATACACTTTTATTAGCGCTGCGCTCCAGCTGGGAGTTTGGAAGTTGGCAACACCAACCAGACTCTAGGTTTTGCATTCTTTTTATTTTCAATATTATTAAATTTTCTTTTTTTTCATAAAAAGTGCAAACATCTAGACATGCCATGTATAGTATTGCTACTTCTCATGTTATTTCTCCTGTTATGGATATGTCATCAAACGCTTGTACGTTTATCGTTGCACTGCAAAAAATAAAGAATTATTTTAAAATATAGTTAATTTCATCCATTATTGCTTAAAGTTTGCGTCTTAGTATATTGTGTCCCCTTTCATACTAGCAATGGTTTGTGAATTAGTTACTGTGAAAATGGTAAAAGACTAATTATTGGGGATAACTACTCCGTTTTCCAAGTTCTTAAGCCTATATTTTTAAGGTTCTTAACATTGTTGGCAAGTGACAGGTATGTAATTAAAAGGTTAATTCCATTAAGGTTAACAATGTGCTTTAGTGGCAAAGTGTAGAAACACAAAATATGTGACTTACAGTAACATATCAATCAGGAAGTGTGTCTATAATTCTAGCATGGCTTGCAAAATTATATTAACTGACACCATGAAATATGATAAGTGCGTTTACATATAAAGATAACATACAGAAATTAAAAGATAATTGTGATAGGTAAGGAGGGAATTTGCCAGATAATTAAATGTCTAATAATCAAAATGTATTTCTCAATTCAATGTAATTAGCCTGATTTTTTTATTTTTACAAATTAAGAAGATGTGGGCTGAGCTATGATTTTTACACTCCCTCCTTTATTTTGATGGTCGCAGGGGGAGATAGACCTTATATAAGATCATCTTCTTGATGTTTAAATAAGTTTAAAATATTCATAATATACTAATGGGATTGAGAATATCAGTGCGTTTTCATCGATTACTGAAAGCTTTTGACTCCACAGAGGGTTAGCTGATTAACAAAATGATGGGGGGTGAGAACTGTCCTTGCTAAAAAAAAAACTTTGTAGAAAAGGTTTTTTACATACCAGGGGTATAACTAAAAACCCCAG